ACAATGGAAGGGAGAGCCAGGTTTGTTGAGTCTTGGGTCTTCTGGCCACTCACCTCCCACTTTTCCCCAACTCAACCCTCTGCTTTTGTGGCACTTCCTGCATTGAGCTCATTCTTTGATAATTTGCTTGTTATGTCCCCTTCACCCAGAGTTTCTTCTTTTCTTTGATAATATAAACTTTTCATTGTTTTTTAAAGCTTAGCTTAACTCTTCTTCCTCCTTAAAGCTTTCCATGCCCTCATCCAGAACTCTCTTTTTATTCATTAAATTCTAGGAGCAATGTCAGGGCAATTAGCACTTGGTCAGTTTCTAGTGTTTCAATAACATTAGTAACAACAAACAGCAGTTTTCACTAAGTGCTTACTGAGTACCAATGTTATAACCACCAGACATCATGTACTATTATTATCTTTATTTTATAGATAAGAACATTGAAACCCAGAGGACTTTAGCAGCTTAAGAAAGGTCCCACAGTTGGCAAATGGTGGATCTGGGTAAACTCAGCCTATTAGATCCTAAAGCCTGAGCTGTTATCCATTGGCATTTCTGAATGTGTGGTCTTCTGACCATGTGCATTAGAATCACCAACATGGATACTGTTAAAAATGCAGATTATTGGCCAGGCGCAGTGGCTCACGTCTGTAATCCCAGCACTTTGGGAGGCTGAGACGGTTAGGTCATGAGGTCAGGAGTTGGAGACCAGCCTGGCCAACATAGTGAAACCCCATCTTTACTAAAAATACAAAAAATTAGCCAGGCATGGTGGCTGGTGCCTGTAATCCCAGGTACTCGGGAGGCTGAGGAAGAAGAATTGCTTGAACTTGGGAGATAGAGGTTGCAGTGAGCCAAGATAGTGCCATTGCACTCCAGCCTGGGAGACAGTGCAAGATTCCATCTCAAAAAAAAAAAAAAAAAAAAAATGCAGATTACTGAACCCACCAAGATCTACTGTCTTAGAATCTATGGGTCTAGGTATAGAGCCTGGGAATCTGCATCTTTAACAAGCTTCCTGGGTAACTTTTACAAACTATAGTTTGAGAATCATTGCATATACTTTGCTGAGTTTTCCTTTATATATTTACCTTCCTAATCTAACTGTAAACCTCTTGAGGGCAGAGATTATGCTATCTACATACAACCTTCTAAATCCCCAAGTCTGCAATAGATGTTTAGCTATTGACTATAAGCTTAGTCAATACTTGCTTTTTTCTGATATAGGCAGCAAAATTAAATGTTTCACACAACTATGGGAAAGATTCATATGATGGGACTTCCCATGAAAGCGTCTGGTAATAGCCAAAGGCCCCATGGTTAGGACCAACCTCACGAATGCTTCTTCTCATTCTGTCACTGGCTCAGTACATTTTCATTTCCTGCCTCAGTTTGCTTGCCTTTGAAGTTGGGGAGATTTTAATAATAAAGAAATAGAGGTATTGGTGGGAGCTAATGATTGTGTTTAGAATATAGAATTTGAAAAGTGATAAGACTAACATCTCATTTCGATATTTAAGACATAAATGAAATTAGCTTATTATTGAAGTTAGATCATACATGGCCCGTTTCTAATTCACTGTGACAAGACTTTCACATCAGTTCAATTGGATATATGTTGAGGGGGTCAACAGAAGCTTTTCCATACCATCTGATGGCTGCTGACAATTGCTGAGCCAGCCACTAGTGGCCTTGCATTATTCTGTGATAAAAGGATACTCACACCTTCTAGTCCAGCCTACTAGTTTCAGATGAGCTATATAATTTCCTCAGGTCAAGCCAAAATTTTAACCCAGATCTTAATATTCCAAATTCAGTGTTTTCCACTACCTCATCCTATTTCCTCTGCGTGGCATGCTACTAAACATGAGTCAAAAAGCAGCCTACGTCATGTGTGAATAAGGCTGGTAAGAGAAAAGAGAAGACTTATTTTGTACCCCCCTGACCTTTTTTTTTTTTTTTGGCTAACCAGTTTCTTATGTAGCATCAGCTCCTGAAGGACAGCTGACAGCGTATTAGCCATTTACATCTTATTCATTTACAATCAAAATTATGGCAATCTAAATCTTTACTTTTAATATGAATACCAACTGTATCACTAGGCAATTGTTACCATTAAACCCTAGCAATTGGCTAATGTCCAATGCATAATTTAAACTTTGTGGAACCTTGGGGGTTACTGTCCTGCCTAAGTGTGTTATTACTTCTTATCAATATTTTGTTTAAGGAAACAGTTTTGGAAGCAACAACAAACAAAAAATATAAGCATCACCTACTTATCACACACTATTGAGGATGGAAAACATCCAATATTTATTTGGAGATCCGATGGACTGGGGATGAGTTGTCAACAGAGATAGCACCTATAAATGTGTCCTTTGTCTTTCTAGAAAAATCATTTGTTAGGAATTTATTTAAATAAATTTTATTGTGTTTATTTATAAATTATATTGTATACATTTATATATAGTGTGTATATATATATATAGTAGTAAGATGATTATATAATGAAGTGAATTAACATAGCCATCATCCCTCACATAGTTACCCATTTTTCCCCTCTGTGGCAAGAGCCTCTGTAATTTACACATTTAGCAAAAATCCTAAATACCATACATTATTATTAACCATAATCTGCATGTTGTACATGGATCTTTTAGGGCTTTGCCATGACATATTACCTGTCTGTTACCTGCCTGTAAATAAGTTTTTGATTGCCCTGACAGGAGAAGGTTAAACATTGTAAACAATGTAAAAATGTTTAACCTTCTCCTCAAACATTGTAAAAAATATGTCATTAGATAATTTCTTAAGGAAATACTCCAAAAAAACTTCTCTTCTCCTTAGAGACATCTTAGGATGGGTTAGTCAATGTAAATGGGGGGTTGAAGCCCATCCAAATGAAAGATGAATTCTGTTGCCTCATTCTTTTAATGGCCTCCTGCCCAAAATAAAACTCGCCAGCAAGCAGTATTTATCTTAGCGATGCTGCCGTTTCATATCACAAAGTGACCGTGTAGTCTCATAAACATAGTCCAAAAGTGCTGACTTTTAAAGGCAGTTGAATTTTTTTTTACTTGTTACTGTTTTATAGCTTTGCATAAAATGCTAATGCCATGACATTTGTAGAACTATTAAATCATTTTAATGAAAGAGTAACAGTTATACAACTAATTCATTTTAGTGCATTTCACTTGCAGAATCCTTTAGTAGTTGATTGTAATGGGAAGAAGCAATTTTTTTGTAGCTCCATAATTTTATTCTCACATGGAACCAAATCCCATTATTTTGGTGTAGTTTATACCCAAGTCTAATGGAGCAAATCCATTGACAGAATTTGTTGTCCCAAATCTAGGCCCATTTGCCTGATGGCCCCCACTTAATGTGATCTATAGTCTAGCCAAGCCAAGTCTGCTTCTCTGGAAAAATATGGCTTTCTGTTTCCCTTTTAAGTGTTTAGGGGTAAATATATGGTCATGCATTTTCAGCTACTGAAAAATGAACTCAATCGCCATAACACCAAATCAAGGAAAACATTTGGCCTTTAAAAATTATCTTTGATCATATAACAAGACAGCTGGGATTGATTATTATCCCGGTCCCACATTTCCTCGTTAATGGCCATCCCATTCGGTATATGCTGTCATGCCAGGGCCTCTGTGGAAGAGAATGGCCAGAAAGCCCTGGAAACATTAAGCGCTGTGAGCAGTGGAAACAGATTTACATTTCTAAACAGATCCTTTGTTAAAGATCACCAGTGCATAGATCTGCAGCTTTCTTCTAGAGTAAAATCATTCTCTGCTTCTCTACTCTCCTGGCCCCCATGTTTTCAGACAAAGCTTCCATTAATAGATAATTCTTTCTGAAACAAAAATTTCTTTTAAGGAATTGCATTCCCTGTTGTCCTCAAATGCTTAGGTTACCCAGAGAGTTGACTTCATTGTCAACATACTTTTACCCCCTTATAAACATATGTATTCCCTTTAACATTTTTTCTCCTTACAAACATGTATTATTCCTCTTAAAATATGTATATTCTTGTGAAATATGAAATCAGTTTGTTTACCCTTACTGCAAATTTTTCTTTACTTCTGATTTTCTTCTGAACCAAGTAGTCTCATTATTATTCTACCATGAGTTTAAGGGTTTTGCTGCTAAAATGTTATCTTTTTCTTCACTCAGGCTTCTCTTGAGCATAGATGTAAAATATTGCAAAGATGTGAAAACTAGAATGTTTTCCCTCCAGGTGAACTGATTATCAAACTTAGTGTCTTGAACAACAGCGCTCTTCTGCACTTTATCTAGCTTTGATCATTTCAGAACGCAATTTTCTTCTAAAACAATGTCCATCCACAGAGTCCATCATGATGCCAGTGTATGGCCAGAGGCATACAGGGACCATACATGGCCTGGATGGCCATGTATATGGCTGGGGTGTTGAAGGTCTCAAACATGATCTGGTCATCTTTTTGCGGTTGTCCTTGGGGTTCATGGGGGCCTCCGTCAGCAGCACGGGGTGCTCCTCAGGAGCCACACCCAGCTCGTTGTAGAAGGTGTGATGCCAGATCTTCTCCATGTGGTCCCATTTGGTGACAATGCTGTGCTCGGTGGGGTACTTCAGGGTCAGGATGCCTCTCTTGCTCTGGGCCTCGTCGCCCCACGTAGAGGTCTGTCTGGCCCATACCCACCATCACATCCTGGTGCCTGGGGTGCCCCATGATGGAGGGGAAAATGACCCAGGGGGATATCATCACCTGCAAAGCCGGCCTTGCACAGGCTGTGCTTATGGGGCAGATGTGGTCTTGGTCAGAAATATATGCTATTTTAACTGACAAAATCAGTATTCTGATGAGCTGGCTGAAAAATATTCATAAAATTGTACACATTTAATGTACCACCTACATAAATACAAACAGAAATTCTAACCCTTTCTAACCCACCGGGTGCCCATCTACAAGGGGTACTCCCTCCCCCATGCCATCCTACATCTGGACCTGGCTGGCCAGGACCTGACTGAGTACCTCATGACGATCCTCACCGAGCTGGGCTACAGCTTCACCACCACGGCAGAGCAGGAGATTGCGTGCGACACCAAGGAGAAGCTGTGCTGCATCACCCTAGACTTTGAGTGGGAGATGGCCACGGCGGCCTCCAGCTCCTCCCTGGAGAAGAGCTACCAGCTGCCCCATTGCCAGGTCATTACCATCGGCAACCAGCGTTTCCGCTGCCCCGAGGTGCTCTTCCAGGCTTCCTTCCTGGGCATGGAATCCTGTGGCATTCATGAAACTACCTTCGACTCCATCATGAAGTGTGACGTGGACATCCATAAAGACCTGTATGCCAACTCAGTGCTGTCTGGTGGTACCACCATGTACCCTGGCAACCCTGACAGGATGCAGAAAGAGATAACTGCCCTGGCGCCCAGCACGATGAAGATCAAGATCATTGCTCCTCCCAAGCTCAAATACTCTGTGTGGATGGGCTGCATCCTGGCCTGGCTGTCCACCTTCCAACAGATCAGATATGGACCAGCAAGCAGGGGTATGACAAGCCAGCCCCTCCATCCTCCAAATGACCTAATTAAGATAATTCTGTATCTGAAAATAAGTGAGAACATATGGTTTGTCTTTATTTCACTTAACATGATGACCTCCAGTTTCATCCATCTTGTTGCAAATGACAGGATCTTATTATTTTTTGTGGCTGAATAGTTCTCCATTGTATGTACCATGTATGTATCCATTCATCTGTTAATGGACACTTAGCATTCAAATGTTGCCTACTGTGAACAGTGCTGCAACAAACACGGGAGCCGATGCTCGATTTTCATGGTAGACTTGGTTGCCTGATATTCAAATGCATTATAGATGTTAATTGTGACATTGCCAGCCATGGCAGGCCATTGAAAGGCTAGGGTTCTATAGACAAGATGTAAATTACAAGTCAAGCAAGTGCTGCTAGGAAGAGAGCATTACAGGACTACAAATTCGAAGACCGGAAAAGACCCTGTAGACCATTACTGCTTTCTTGTTTTTTCAAGAAGGCTTGAACAGAGAGAGTAGCTCTCTGTCAGTGTGGCTGGACTTGGATATGTAAACATTTTTCTACTTTTAAATACTTTCTTTTAATTATGAATGGTCCTTCTTTCCTGAATCTATTTCTTAAAATTAAAAAAAATTTTATGGATACGTAGTAGGTATGTATATTTATGGAGTACCATCACTGTACTCTCTATCTCCCTGAGTTCAGTTGTTTTAATTTTAGTTCCCACAAATGAGTGAGAACATGTTAAGTTTGTCTTTCTGTGCCTGGCTTATTTCACTTAACTTAATGTCCTCCAGTTCCATGCATGTTGCTGCAAATACAGGATCTCATTCTTTTTTATGGCTGAAAAGTATTCCGTTGTGCATATGTACCACATTTTCTTTGTCCATTAATCTGCTGATAGACACTTAGGTTACTTCCACATCTAGACTATTGTGAACAGTACTGTAATTAACATGGAAGTGTAGCTACATCTTTGATATACTGATTTCCTCTTTTGGAGTATATACCTAACAGTGGGACTGCTGGATAATATGGTGGCTCTACTTTAGTTTTTTGAGGAACTTCCAAACTGTTCTCTCTAGTGGCTGTGCTAATTTACATTCCCACCAAAACTATAAGTTTCTCTTTTCTCCACATCCTCACCAGCATTTGTTATTTTATTGTTTTTTAAGTTATTTTTTTCTTCTACTTTAAGTTCTAGGGTACATGTGCACAATGTGCAGGTTTGTTACATAGGTATACAAGTGCCATGTTGGTTTGCTGCACCCATTAACTCATCATTTACATTAGGCATTTCTCCTAATGCTATCCCTCCCCCAGCCTCTCACCCCATGATAGGCCCCAGTGCGTGATGTTCCCCGCCCTATGTCCAAGTGTTCTCATTGTTTAGTACCCACCTATGAGTGAGAACGTGTGGTGTTTGGTTTTCTGTCCATGTGATAGCTTGCTGAGAATGATGGTTTCCAGCTTCATCCACGTCCCTGCAAAGGACATGAACTCATCCCTTTTTATGGCTGCATAGTATTCCAGGGTGTATATGTGCCACATTTTCTTTATCCAGTCTGTCATTGATGGGCATATGGGCTGGTTTCAAGTCTTTAGTATTGTGAATAGTGCTGCAATAAACATACTTGCGCATGTGTCTTTATAGTAGCATGATTTATAATCCTTTGGGTATATACCCAGTAATGGGATGGCTGGATCAAATGGTATTTCTAGTTCTAGATCCATGAGGAATCGCCACACTGTCTTCCACAATGGCTGAACTAATTTATACTCCCACCAACAGTGTAAAAGTGTTCCTATTTCTACACATCCTCTCCAGCATCTGTTGTTTCTGTATTTTTTTAAAAAAATTATTATACTTTAAGTTCTAGAGTACATGTGCACAACGTGCAGGTTTGTTACATATGTATACATGTGTCATGTTGGCGTGCTGCATCCATTAACTCATCATTTATATTAGGTATATCTCCTAATGGTGTCCCTACCCGCTCCTCCCTCCCTACGACAGGCCCTGGTGTGTGATGTTCCCCACCCTGTGTCCAAGTGTTCTCATTGTTCAATTCCAACCTATGAGTGAGAACATGAGGTTTCTGGTTTTCTGTACTTGTGATAGTTTGCTCAGAATGGTGGTTTACAGCTTCATCCATGTCCCCACAAAGGACATGAACTCATCCTTTTTTATGGCCACATAGTATTTCATGGTGTGTATGGGCCACATTTTCTTAATCCAGTCTATCATTGATGGACATTTGGGTTGTTCGAACTCTTTGCTATTGTGAATAGTGCTGGAATAAACATATGTGTGCATGTGTCTTTATAGCAGCATGATTTATAATCTGTTGGGTTTATGCCCAGTAATGGGATGGCTGGGTCAAATGGTATTTCTAGTTCTAGATCCTTGAGGAATCGCCACATTGTCTTCCACAATTGTCGAACTAGTTTACAGTCCCACCAACAGTGTAAAAGTGTTCCTATTCTTCCACATCCTCTCCAGCACCTGTTGTTTCCTGATTTCTTAATGATCGCCATTCTAACTGGTGTGAGATGGTATCTCATTGTGGTTTTG